TGGGAAAATCTAGACCGCGGTCAATATCGATTTCAGCCAATCAAATTCGTGAATTCGCTAGTTCCCAGTCTTTGTGAGACACAGCCATATAATAATGTAACCTTATTGAATTGCTTTCCAGCTGTTTAATCTATTATTGGTAGTAAAGTCTTGATAAATTAACAATAATCTCCGTTTGGCGTAGAAATATCTCCGCGAACACTCCCACAAGCGAAGCGACTGGAAAACAGACAGCTGGGCTTCGATTCTCCAAGGACAATAAGCTTAATATCCTGGTATATATTTAATAATTAGATTATGAGCTCGAGATTTCTATGAGGTGATAGTTGATGAGGCCGAAGGCCGAATCAACTATCACGTCATAGAAATCGAGAGCGAATAATCTAATTGTTTTAGTAGAATTCTTACTAACATTCACTTCAAATAATGGTTTCCAATTATTTCTTGACGTATTTATTAAACTTATTACGCCTGAAAAAGATCGCTCGGATTGAATTGTCATTTAAAATTGAAGTTGTGTGCGTGCGCTTCAGTTTTTTAGACTATTTCAACTTTTTTGAAAGTCATTTTAAAAGCCAAGAAACTGTAAATGTCCTTCATTTAGACTTCAGGAATTTAACTACCCATTTGCATGAAAATTTTCCTCCAAATCTTTGGGAAAACGAAAAAAACATTGCCATTTCCTAGACAACCTCCAGCCACTGCACACTAATGGCTGATAGTGTTCAATGGCTCAGCCAATCAGATTACAGTATTTGCATTAGTATACTGGTAGAATTCTACCAATAAACAATTAGATTATGAGCTCGAGATTTCTATCATGTGACAGTTGATGAGGGCAGAGCCCGAGTATCACACATAGAAATTGAGAGCGAATGATCTAATTGTTTTAGTATAAATCTACTAGTCGTTCAAAACTTTATCCAAATCCTCTTCACAGGCATTTCAAAAACGCCAGGAAGCGGCTGTCATTTTGGTAAAAACCGTACACTGCTACACTACTCACCATCTATCACAGTAATTGTTTAATAGAAAGTGAGTAGCATAGCCTATCAGAGAATGGCATTCGTGATAGAACACTAGTAGGTTTATACTAAAAGAGCTTATAAGCACATGAGCTTATTTGAAGCCAAATGCCAAGGCTTTACTGCTTATTTCCCTGATTATCTAAGCAAGACCTCTCATTTTGTTAGAGCTTGGCAAAGTTGTGTAATAAAAGTAACAGTGCCTTAGGCTTACTTTAGTCTGAACGATCCTTACAAGATTTTAACTTATTTGTTGTCTTGACATTTTTCTTTCCGTGATGAGAAATCATTTGTCAAATATAATATATAGATTTAGGCCAGCCTAAAAGCGTAGCTCCAGGGCTGGGTTTGTTCAGAGCTCGATCAAGCTAGCCCAGGATAAAGTAGAATTTTGATTTGAGTTTTGTAACTTTGTGGTGAGGTTTTCTGTATATTGTTTGGCCTTCTGTTTTGAGTTTTAATAATCACAATACAATGTATACACAAAACAAAACAGCACAACACATTTGTATAGAAGATAAAGTTATATTTCGGGTAACTTTTAATCCTGGGTTAGTGTTAACTGGCTTTCGAACAACACGGCCCTATTTTCAACAATCGAAAAACCAGTGCTTGGTCAGCAGTCAACTTCTAAAAAGAACGTGACCTCCATGAGCCCTAAACTTAAGGTTACTTCAAACCTTCGTGGGGCTACTTTTTCCAAATTTTCTTTTTTCCAACCAAATTAAAGTTCATTATTCAAGGTAACATTTTCCAAAAAACGAAAAGAAAATATTAAAATGCGCACGAGTTATTGGGAAAAAGAGTTTTTTTTAATAAAAGTTAATAAACCGTCAAGGTGTCATAATCCCCAAAAGGCATGGACTCGTCAGCAACCTTTTCACGGCAAATGGCTTAATCCAGAGATCCTATATCAAATACTTTCAATTTGAGATTTCGTGTCCATCAAGAGTGTCTTTTTCTGATCACACTTCAGCAATTGTACCTCAGTTTCTTTTTGTTTTGTTGCACATTGCTTTTCTCCATTTTGCCCCTTATTGTTGACCACTGGCCTAAAACGTATGCGCCTAAAATGTGACTGAAAAACTATTGCTTTACCGCAAAGCTCAACTTTCCATACTGTGAATGCTAGGGGCTCTGTTATTTCATTGGCTGGCAGCATTTTGAGTTGACATATCCCTCTGAGAAGGCGTGACATGTTTATAAATCTTTAGAAGGCGAAAACTTGCACTTGTTTTTCGAGAGAATCCCTCCTCTAAAAAAATCAACAGTCTTCCGTGAAATTTGGCCAGAACATGCACTGATAGATACGGAACAAAACGTGTTGGCGAATTCTTTTATTTCATATAGCTACTTTTCTCGTGGCGATCTCTAACACAACACATTACGCAACTTTTTCAATAGTGGAACTTGACAGATCTATAAAAACATAACCAATAGAAATGAAAGAAAATGCTGACACCCTTTGAGATATT